GACCCTTGAACGGTGGGTCTTCTCACCAGTCTCACTTAGAGTAACACACCCAGGATACTGGTCAATCCTGGATGCACTCTTTCCTCACGCGCACCACCCTGAAATCCAGGGACTTCTTATCAATCAAATACACTTCCTTTCACTTCTGAGCAATCTCAATACAAATCCAAGGGGTGATTACTACCAAACCTCCTGGATCGCAGGCGCTGTGAGAGCGGGAGCCCCCATGCATACCGAAGACGGAGTATCAGTGGCCAACCAAGATTATGCTACAACCTCAACCAGGATCCGCTGAAGTCAGGATGGTCCAACTACAAGACCCCCGCACTTCAGGATGATGAATCGTGGAGAGCTGGTAGATGTAAGCACGCAGACAGGGGAAGACATCCTGGCGATAACCAGGATGGATGTAGCCACACAGGCCAGCGAAAATCAGCTGGACAGACATGAAAATGGTCCTGATGAAGGAGCTGGTCATGGTGATGATCGGTTCAATGTCCCTGTGGAAGTGTTCCCAGAATTGACTGTCGAATGCGAGGATCACCAGAGCAGCGAAATGTCCTCGGAAGCACGCCCCAAACCCAGCGATCCAAGATTCTCCCCGGAAGCGACATACTCGAAAAGATGGAAATAGAGTACGACTGTTGTATGAGGGCCAGCGCTAAGAAGTTGGTTTTGGAACCAGGCGCCACGAAGGAAGTGAAATGGTGGCACAATTGCGAGACCAACTGGCCATGTTGCCAGAATTGAGTGAATTGCATCCGGAATGCGATATCGCCCCGGCCGATGTGGGAGTCCCAGGCAAGACTTCCCCCGAGGATGAATCCAGGATGCATGCGATCCTGAAGCGCCATTGGAAGATTTTACTGGGAGACGGGAATGCCGCACCAGCGCCTGCCATGGGAGTGGTATGTGATATCGACGTGGGGGACGCCAAACCTATCGTGCTACGTCTATGGTCAATTGGTAGTCAAGGTATATGAGCTTCTCAAGTAGTCGCTCGAGAACAACCTGATTGAACACTCAGAATCACAATGGACATCCCCAATTGTGATCGTACTCAAGAAGAATGGAGGGATATCAGGATGTGTATCGACTATCGGCTTGTGAACAATTTCATCCGGCTGTTCAGCTACCCTCATCGATGAACTACTAGTTGGTTTTGAGAAGGCGCTCTGTTTCATGAGCCTGCATATGGCTAGTGGATTCTGCACAATCAGGATGACGGAAAGAGCCAAGTTGATCTCAACTTTCGTATGCCCTTTTGGACATTTGCAGTGGATCCGAATGCCATTTGGCCTAAAGAATGCCCCCTAATCTACCAGCAAGTGGTTAGCGATTGCCTGTGAGGATCGTACGTCTGCCATCAGTAGAGGAGGCCGAAGTAGACCAGGAAGTTTTGAACTATCTCAATTTGGACCCCCAAGATGATAGACCTCCAGAATGTGGCGTTCCAGGGTGTACTAGTTGTGAAAACGACCATGCCACGCGATTGTTGCCGACCCGGACGGACCAAATGACTGTGTTCAAGAGGAACATCCCTGCTCCAACTCAGATGTCTTCTGTCCTGGGGTGCAGCTCATACATTGGCGATATTGCGCATGGCGCACCGACCTGGGATGCATTGTGTGTTGCCTGGACGCCTTGCTGTATAGATTACGGTATTGGAACATCTCAGCGAGTTTGCCGAAGAGCGAATTTGGGAAACTGTCTATTTCATACCTGTCACATGAGATCAGCGCTGAGAGAATCAGGATGACACCGAAGATTGCTAAGGGGGTTCAGGATCTATTATTCCCGACGACTATGAAAGGAGTACAATCATTCATGGGTAGCCTAAATTACTACCACGAATTCATCGAGGATTACCCCGTGATCGCGGCCTCCCTGTAGGAACTCTCGGACGACCAAGTGCGTTCAGGGCGAGATTTGACCAGGGCAAAAAAGACGTTCGAAATCGGGAAGCGCAAGATCGTGTCGACTTCTGTATTACGGCACCCTGATAGGACCAAGCCGTTCATCATCATACCGCACGCTAACCAATGGGATGCCTGTGCAGTCCTGGACCAGGAACGTGATGGATTGATACAGCCAGTACGGTTAACAGGGCGAATCCTTCACGACGAAGAGTTGTGGTATGGCATCGTTGAGAAAGAAGTCATTGCCGTGCTGAGGGTTCTGCAAGTTTTCAAAGGCGCTCATCCAGGGCTGCCCGCTCATTGTGTACACCAGACATTCGGTGTTGAAGCGGACCATGAAGTCCAAGACTGCCGATGGAAGGTGTGTGCCCTGGGGCGTCTTAATTTTACAATGGAATATAGACATCAGGAAAAACCAACGAGAAGAAGATGAATTAGCTGCCATCCTGGGTGCCGGTATTACCCCGCGAGATCACCTGGATGAGATCGCTGAGGAGCTCATCCCCGCCAGGGGGCGCGCAAAACCACCTCTGGTGATTAGTGTTGAAATGTTGGAGGACACTTTTGAAGGCATCGTGCTGAGTTTTGATGGGGCTACCAAAACAGCCACCCGGCAAGGTAGTTGTGGATGTATTTTGTGGGAACTCCCTGGATGGAAGATTCTGGATGCACAAGGTTTTATCCTGGAGAGTGTCACCATGAATGACGCCGAATATTGTGGGACTCCTGAACGGCCTAAGCATGGCACAAGCCAGGGGCGTCCGAGATCTCATCGTTGTCGGTGATTCACGAATCGTCATCCAGTGAGAACAGGGACTGATCAATTGTAATCAGCCGAACTTGCAGAGGCAACTAGCCAGCTGTGAAAGGCGAAGTTCGGGTCGCTACGATTGGTGCACGTCACGCGAGATTTCGATCAGGCGGCGGATTTTCAGACCTCCAAAACGTTGCTGCTTGGAAAATCCTGGGGTGCCCAAGAGGATAATGAACGCCGACATTTAGAGCAAATATCTAAGATTCAGGAGAAGTTGATGAAGTCATCGGAAGCGCACCCAGCAGAAAGTCACCCAGGGCTGATGGTCATCCAGGATGAAGGAAACAGTTTAGCTCTGGGTACCCTCACATTCTGGATGCAATGGCAGCTCCATTACCGTATGGCCAAAATCTTGGTTACTGTGACACGAGCCCGCGTTCGAGGCAGACCAGCACCATAAGGACCACTCTACCCTCTGGAATACCAACGGGAGATATCGCGGCGTATTAAAGTGCACCAGGAAACAAGATGAATATTTGTGTGATATAAGGGATTTTCTGAATGGAGAAGTTGACCGTTTTACACCTCGCAAGTTTCGGAAAATCGCCAAGGATCCGGATTTATTCGCCCTGGATGCCCCGGTGTGCTATATCGATTGGCTCAGTCTAGATGTGGTAGACCTCGAGATGCCCAGGATGAATTACGTCTGGTGGTGCCAACCACTCTAAGAGACGATATCCTGCATTATGCTCATGAGGACTTTCAGGGCGGACATCTGGGCAGATACCAGGCCAAACACCAGGGCATTAAACGATCTCACGAGAAGTTGCGCTCTGGGATTACTGGCCCGGGGCGTATGCAGATGTGGAACGTCACGTCAAGAAGTGTGTCGATTGCTCGAGCGGCAAGGAACATCCGTCCAACCTTGATCGATCCCCTTGAAATATCGAGCACAGACGACCATTTGAAGTGGTCTCGATGGATTTCGTCACGCACATGCCGAAGTCAGAACGAGGGAATACTTTCCTCCTCCTGTTCCAGGACATGTTCTCAGGATTCGTAATGTGCAAACCAATGCCATCCACAACAGCTCTGGATGTAGCCGAAGCGTATGAAGAGTGGGTGTTCAGGATATTTGGCGCTTCAGAAATGATCCGCCATGATCAGGACCCGAGGTTCGTGAGTGAAGTATTCACGCGTTTCAGGGAACTCCTGGGTAGTCGTCAAAGGTCCACTCTGAGCTACCGACCTCAGGCCAACGGGCAACAAGAGCGATCCGTTCAGACTGTGAGGGCGTATGCCGCCGAGGCAGATCAGTCGGACTGGGATGACCATGCCGAGGGACTGATGTTCGCCCTGAACACATCAACCCGCCTGGATACACCATTCTATTTGAACCGTAGTTGGGATGCTTAGGGACTGTATCCTCCGTGTTGGGACCTAAGCCGTCCCGCCTTCCAGAACGAACTGCATATGAATGGAGGAGAAAGTTTCAGCGCGACTATAGTTATGCGCGAGCCTGTGCTAGGGACCTCCAGAAGAAAGCAAAGCGCATGAGATCGGAGGCTCAGATCCAGCGGTGGAGGGAGCACTCGGAGCGTTGGCAGTCTGGATTCGAAAGGTGCAACGCAGTCTGGTTGTATATACCTAAGATGCAACCAGGATTGAGTCACAAGCTGACACACTTATGGCATGGTTCATTCAGAATCGATGGGGTCCACGATGATTTCAGGGTAAAGTTGAAAATCGATGGAACCGGATACCGCGTGAACGCATGGGTGCATGTAAGTCGCCTGAAACCGCGGGAATTGTTCCCGAGGAGACCCTTCGATGAAGTCACCCTGGATAAAAATGACGAACTGGATGCTGAATTGTTACGTGAGGACGGTTGGGAAGCAGACAGCTAGAATGATGAGTACAAAGTGGAGCGAATCCTGGACCCCCGATGGTTCAAGCGTACCCGCACGTCCAGATGGACTCGCGAGTATCTGATCAAGTGGAACGGTTATGTCGATCCTGAGTATATACCGTTGTCACAGCTCAACTGAGGAGCTTTGCTGCATGAGTTGATCAAGGGCGCTAGAGCCAGAGTGCGCTTCAGGGCGATGTAAGCGGGTGATGATCATCCTAAAATATAGTGATCTCACCCGTCGATCCTGGATGGCCAACTACCCTGACTCAGACCAATGATCTTTGTGAGATGTTTCGATTTTGTGGATATTTTCGACTGTCGATTACTTTCACACATTACTTGTATTCCCGGATGGTCCTACTCTGTTCTGAATTCTGGATGGCCAAAACACACATTGTAGTTTTGAAGTACGTTTTGGGCTATAATGAACAAAGACAACTCGAGTGGTATGACGATGACATATATTACAATGTTTTGGTTTAGGCCCAGAACAACTCAAATTACTGTGATGACTATATGTAAGCGGCCACTTCAACCGTAGGTGCGCGAAGCTGGGTTATCCTGGCGGGCCGACTCAGGAAGGAGGCTTGCTGACACCGACTTGGGTTTTTGATCCGTGAGCCGTCGTTAGCTGCTGTGGTCCACTGCACTCGCCCTGATCCAGAATTTCGAGTTGTTCATCCAGGGGGTATGAACCACCACGTTCACTGAACGACCTTGGATCCATCAATATCAAGTAACAAGGTTTCGAGGGCAGCGTCCGTAATGCAGGCTCCCAGGAAATTGTGGAACGCGCACCCTCAGCGATGCACTCGCGCTGCTTAACCTCCACAGTCCGGGTCAATCCGTCCCACTGACACTTGCGCTCGCGCAGCATGTCGGCTCTATCCTAGGCGGACGTGTCGATAGCGAACCAGTGACCGTCATGCCAGACGCCCGATATATTCTCTTCCACGAACCAAATATACTTGTCCAGAGCCATCATGGAACGTGGTGCATGAATGTAGCGCCAGGTGCTTCACACGCGTTTCACACATATTTGTCCAGGGCTCCGTCGCCAATAGTGCTTGAACTTCACCCAGGATGAACCGTTTTTTGAGAGGCTGAATCCCACCCACCTTGTGAGGGGCGTAGTCAGGAAACCCTGCAGACTGGTGTACCGCATGAGCCGATGAAGGAGCAAATGTCATCAGGATTCCGTAGTGCCGCCATGATGATACTCTAGGACCAGCTACTTCCACCACAACCGAGTCAGGCACACTGAGGGCACCAGCATCAACGCGAGTCAAGGTGGACTGACGTCGCAGACTACCTGCTCGGCTGCACCGTGAAGGAGCGCTACTTGTGATGTCGTGACTGAACCCGTGTGAGAAGATAGTGATGTGCGACGACGTTTGGCAGCTGGGACAGGATCTTGCGAGCCCTGGATGTCATTGTCGTCCTGAACGTCAACATCTTCATCAGGATTGTAGGTCCCGTCCCACGGAAGGTCGTCGTGTTCGCTACTCGCGTCATCAATCGCGTCCTGAGCGTCACGAACATCCGCTTCGATCAAATCTGGCCAAAACTCAGGACGATTTCCCTCAGAGTGCGTGTCAGTCAGACGCAACTCTGCGCGGAGGTAGTAGCGGTCTGGATCGTACTTGGCCCAGAGCGAGTCATCCAGACGGTTACGAAACATCATACTTACCACCATCTCAGCAAACGCAGACGGAGAAAACAGGTTGTGTGTCATGACGTCTCCGCTGAAGATGGCTATGTCTCCCTGGTAACCAATCCCAGCCTGCATCACCAAGACCACGTCAGGACAAAAACTATCCCAGGCCACAGGCTCATTCTTCATGGTGTCGCGGACCTGTGCCTTGGAGAACATCACCCGAACCCACAGCGAACGAGCCTCATCCTGAGTAGGCGCCCATCCAGCCGGGCGAAGTTGTAGGGAGTCGGGAATCTTGTGACGACCCGTACGTCTTTCCCTTTTTTGGAAGAGAAGTCATCTGTGGAGAAGGCTCACTGACGTCAGAGTCGGGCTGGGTCAAGTCGACCTCGTTGTTGTTGCCGCCCGGGTTGCCCCCGCCTTGGTTGTTGCCTCCCCGGTCGCCACTGTGGTCATTTTCCTCGTAATCACAGTCGTTCTCGGGAAGCGATACGAATGGAGAGGTCTGGGCGAAGGGGTCGTTCACAGCTGTGACTGCGATTAGAGTATTCCACGAGATCTGTGGAGTGCCACCATCGTGAAATCGCTCGTGTAGATTCTGGAGTCGTTTCCAGTTGTCGTTGACCCGTGTTTGATCACGGTTCGAGAAGTTCATTAGGCGCGGCACGTCAAGGCGCCGTGCACCAGAACGGCTACGCCCCAGAAGTCGGAGATTATCCACTTGGGAATGTAACTCCGCTACCTCCTCGCGAAGAGCCCGCGTCTCGAGTTCGTACTCGGCTAGAACACCGCGAAGGTCATCCTCGCGACGGGGGTGTGCGGCATTCAACAGTTCTTACAAGTGCCTAACCACACCCCAGTAGAACTCGTGCAGGGTGGTGTAGTCAACCCTGACCCTGGTGGTCTCGCCCTGAGCGTCGAGCATGTCTGTGCCTAACCACACCCCAGTAGAACTCGTGCAGGGTGGTGTAGTCAACCTTGACCCTGGTGGTCTCGCCCTGAGCGTCGAGCATGTCTGGACTGCGGTGCGACCACTTGCCTCCACTTGGGAATGCAGATGACGGAATTTGCTCAACAGTCGCTTCAGGAACGTGGTGGACGCAAACACCTTCTGAGCGAGTCGGTCAGGGCGGTAGTGCGCCAGGATTGACGAGAATTCTCGACGAACCATGGTCGAGTCAAGAAGGCCCTCCAAGTCTGCCACGTCAAGGGCCGATCGGCTCGGAGACGCAGCGTGAGATCGTCGACATCACTATTCTGGTCGACAAGAGTGGCCAGGTCGCGGAGGTCCACCGCTGTTAGACCATACACGCACGGCACAACTTCTAAGCCGCCGTAGCGGTCACATGAATACTTGTCTTCGGCCAAGTGTTGAGGCCACGCAGGAATACCCACAAAGCAAGCGTGGCCCGACGACTGGTGAACTACAGACCGTGGAAAACTCGCGGGTACCACCTCGGGAAACATCGCTGTGCGGTTCTGTAATGGAAGCTGAAGAGAATGACGCTGCTTAGCCGCACGGAACCGATTCACGACGCGCGCAGTTATGTCCATATACGCACCAATATTCAGCACGTCTATGGTAGCGTCGCCTCCTTCCCGCATGCACTCATCACAGTCAGGACTTGCCAGAGCACGATGCGGAGGTGAGCGCTCTGAGGGAACATCTCGCGAGGTCGATCCTGCTGCAGGCACTAAAGCGCCATCGCCAGACGCACCAGCATCGTTGCTGCCATCGCCAGAGCTACTGGTACCCGCCAAGTTGTCAACCCCACTGGGAGCCGACGGAAATTGTGCCGTGCTGGGAGGCGAGCGATTCGAAGGTGGTGACATCTTGGTGTCGGATCAGTTGTCGCGCTGAGGATATTTCCAGTTGTGAGGAGAAATCTCTGGGACGGCCACGCCATACCAAGACTTGACTTGGATGCCAAGCGAAAGGGCGAAGAAAAGATGCGAGTTGTGGTAGTGCAACGGGCGGGTTGTTCTGGGTGAAGGCCCGCCATGCATTGGACGAATGTGACTGTAGTCTGGTCATGATCGTTCACCTCGTGGCTATTTCCTCTGAAAGAACTTTAACAGAGGAGTG